CGCATTTTTTTTGTTTGATTTTTTGTTTTGGGCTTTTTTTGTTTTTCTGTTTTTTTTTTTCTACTCTTCTGTCTGTGGACATGGCAAACAAATGCTTGGCTTGAAAGGAAAGGCAGTTCCCTTTATAATATGAAAGTTCTATCTACGTTGCTTTTACTCATGAAAAAACAAACAAACAAACAAAAAAAAACCTTCCTGGTTTTAACAAGCTGTTAAAGAGTAGAAAAGTGCAGAAATGAAATGTCAGCCTTCATCTAGTTTTAGAATTGAGATTTCTCTTTTGATGATCATAAAACTACAAAATAGGAGGTCTCGTGTCCATGACACCCAGCCTCATGACCCTCAAAAAAAGTTGTGGGAGGATCTCCAGTGGTAGATGAACTACGCTCTTGCGGAACGTGATCTTGCTTTTTGGCAACAGCATCAGAAGAAATTTATTTTTCATCCTAGTTCGCTATTCTGCTGTGTCTAGCCAGTTACTTCCCAAATATTGCCATAGATTTGATATCTTTTTATGGAGGGTTGTATTACCTTTTACTAAATTTTACCCATTTTGATCAGGACCACTGAGTTTGTCAAGGCGTTTATCTATCAATTTTATTCCATTGCAGCCATTATATTACCCAAGTTGTTCATTTTTTTAAAAAAAGTTTTAGAACTTTATAACTTTTTCTGAGGCATATATTCCTAGCGATTTCTTGTACTGCATTTTTTTTAAAGACTGCGATGCAGAAGAGTGTTAAAACCTTCCTGAAGTCCAGATACGTCATGCACCTTTTTACCTTCAGGCCATGTTGTTTTCCGGAGAAGGAAAATGGTTGGTTTGATCCTTGTCTACTCTTAAGAAATCCTGCTTTTCTCTTTGTCACTTATTATTTTTACATTCTGTTCAACTCCCCTGTGATTTTACTTGTCAGAAGTGGAGTTCCAGTGGATTTTTTCATTAATTAACAATTCAGAGTGGCTTTTCTCAGGAAAACAGTTTTTTTTTTGTTTGTTTTTGGCCTTGTTTTTCTTTTTCCTCATTATCCGAGAGGCAAAGCGGCTTCCTGTTCCCATAACTGTGCATACCATGGCCTGCCTCTGTCCACCATATCCCAATAAATTTTCATTAAAAATAGTATCTGGTTGGAGAGAAGGAAAATCTGTAGTTGAAGTCAGTTAAAATAACAAATTCATATTGAAATGGGTCTACTTAAGTGCTCCATCATAGGTAAGAACTTCATACTGCCTTTGATTTACTGCCCATCAACCATGGGGCACAAAGTGATGGGAAATGGAGCTCCCTGAGGCCACAAGCAGACAAGATGTATTTTGATATCAAATTAGAGACGGCTACCAATAGAGATGGTGTGACTCCGTACCCTGTAACCTGCTGTTGCTCCCTCCCATGTCCAAGCACCACTTGTGTCATCTGTGGAGCAGGGAAATGCCATGGCTTAACTTCACCCGTGAAGCTACAGCCCAGTCTGGGAGGTCAGTTCCACGGCCAGGTGTTGACTCAGAGCGTGATTCCTCTCCTACAGAGGCTCTCTGTCCACGCTGGCAGCATTAAGGAGAACCACGTGGACTTCTGTGTCTTCAGCCTCGTCTGCACAGTCCTGTAGTCCCTCGTGTGACATGTCCCAGGTCTTCTGTGGCGGTATCCAGGATCCCTGCATCCTTCAGTCACAAAGAACTTGAGTGCGAGGGTTGGTCAAGCCTTGGCAACCTCTCCGTAGCGTCCCAGTGTCATAAGTTTCAAGTGTGTTTGCTTCACTGGTGGGACTCGGTTTCTTAACTTTTTAGGAAGACTTCTGTGATCTTCTAGGCCTCAAGTTTGACACAGGCAAAACCGCCCAGGATAATTCTGATCAACTTTCTGCTAAGAGAGATGTCCCCATAGTGAATCTGAGGTAGCCAACTTGCCTGCAACCCAGACCACAGAGAAATGGCCACTTGGGCCGCTTGCTGGCTGCTTGGCAATTAGGAAGTCACCTCTAATTTTGCTCAGTGGCTTCATGTTGAATGAATAGCCAAATCACTTCTGCTTATCCTGTCAACCTGGCATGCTTTAAGAGGTTTTATGTGTGCACGCCTGTGGAGTATTTCAGTTACTTGTGACTCTACTACTTGGATATTTCGGGTATCAGTGTTTGGTAGCAGTTTGCAAGGATAACCAACACAAATTTGTTGCTTAGGCTATCCCATGGTAAACACACACTAATTCGTTGATGGGTACTATGACTGTATGCCTAAATTATTCTGTTCTATCAGCAGTTCTACTGATTTCAGATGGCTCCAATTGGACATGAAACCAAAATTGATTATCCAAGTTACATTTAACATTTATTTAAATGCTATTAAGAGAGTTTTAAGTAAATAGGTACTGCATGTGCTTATTTTTTAACTCTCTGTTTTCCAGACAAGTGAATATATTATTTTTTTTAGTTAAGCATAAAACATTAAGCATTAATAGAAGGCTACCATGAGCAGATTCTCAATTATTCCAAAAATAATTAGCCTATAGATGTAATAGAAGCAATGGTTATTCGGTAATGAGACATAAGGCTTGCAGAGGGTTATTTTGATTTTTCTTAATATTAGTTTGAATAATACATGTTAGCGGTCAGTGATTTTATGTAACAAGCTTTTTAGAAACGTGATGATATATTTGTCTTAGATAACAGTGTTGAGATTGTGTGGTAACAAATTTAATACACTTGAAAGAACTGGTTTGCTCTTTGTTCTCTCTCAGAGGCTTGGGGTTTATAGCAAAGCCTTGGGCCCTGTGGCATTCTTATTACTAAGGGGACTATTTGAGAAGGAGCCCTGGCAGCATTCAAGGCTCTGGTTGCTTCGTGGAGCAAACCAGCAGACAGGAACTTGGTGTGGGAACTGAAACACAAAAGTGGACCCTGGCATTACGCTTGAGTAGAACCACACTTGTTTACATCATCATTACTATCACTTGACTGTTAGAAGTCAGTTGCTTCCAATTTAGCTTTTTTATTATTATTAATTTTTAAGCATTTCTTTGTGCTATTAAGTTATTTTTATAGCAGTGGTGTAGGCTGTATAAATGTTATTTGCTCATATCTTGCATTTACTCAGTCTGTTTGTACTTTTTCTGTGTGTCACCATGTTATTGGTGAAATTAGTGATTTTTAAAATATTTAGCTTTGTATTTTGCATAAGAAGAAAATATATTATATTTTCTTTTCTTTTTTTTCTGTAAGTGTCAAGAATGAGTTAATACCTTATGGAAACATACAGAGCAGATTCTATAGGAAGAGAGTCGAGTGTATGTGAGCATGGGTGAAGGCCTGCCTTTTGGAAGATGAAGTCCCAGGTCTCTGTGAAGTATAAGGAGTGGAGAGTAGTTTGTTAGCCATCATAATTTTTCCTTATCCTAGGATATTTTGAGGTCTTTTAGATGCTAGCATAGAATGCCCTTCAGATGTTAAAATTAAGGACTATAGAGACATCCTAACCTATTAATAAATCATAATTGGCAGATAATTTGTTATATCTCTTGATGCAGAGCTTCCTGTATGCTCAGATATGTCCTCAGGATGTGGGAACCCTTCTCGTATGCAACCAGAGAACTGTCTCAATTTCTTTGTGTATATTTTTTGTCTTTAACATTGAAATTTATGGTGGAATAAGTTTACCATATAATTAAAAAATTGCAAGGTGTTACATTTCTGAAATTCCCTTTTGGTTTCTCATCCAGTCATTGCTGATTGGGTCTCCTGTGAAGTGCCCCAGACGTTACCCTTAGCTCGATACCTTAGTCCAGAGATCAAATTCAATTTTTTTCTCCAAGTTGTTTGTGTTTGCTTTATTTTATGATAGGGAATTTTGAAGTTTCAGCAAGAAATCAGATGCATCAGATGTTTATCTCCTGTGGACAGTAATCTTTGTTCCCCCTTCTAGGTCAATCTGATAGATTGTTATATATCTTGGATGGGCAATTCTGTGCATACTTCTAGTCTGCGCAGAAAGAAAGAAAGAAAGAAAGAAGCTGATTAGCAGTGCAAGTAGCCCTGCATCCCCTTGGCTTGGTAACAGGAGTCTCACTTGTGTGACTGGAATATAGGCTTATCTTTCATTGCTTTTTTGGTCTTTGCTTTCAGGAAAGTGAGCATGGCTTTACATCCGAATGTTGTAAACCTGTACACTATGATTGGTTTGCTAGGTATGTGTTTCACAGCAGAGTAAACACATTAGCCTCTCTATTTTCATATCATTTTTACAGTCCTCTTCCAGATGTCCGGCTTGAAATTCATGTCCAGTTTTGATGTTCTCCTCTGTGTGTTTTGATATCTTAAATCTAGAGCAATCATATGAATCATAAGCGACACTGACATTGAATACATGACATAGCTTAATTTGGCTCTTTCTCCAATTTCCTGGACTAGTGATTTAGCTATAATGCCAGTAGTTTTCATGTCCCACCAAGACTTATTAAACAAGTGTAAGCCATCTCTATACTCATGTGGAGGTGTCCTAAACTGTTTGTGTACCTAGTCTTTGCTCTCTGATTCCATCTTTGAAATCAATGAATGGGTCAATCCCATGGCTGGCAGTCATTTAATCACTGCATTCTCTACTCTTATAGCCCTCAGAGAGTTTTCGTTTGTTTTTGTTTAAGCAACATCTTTTATACATCTTTTTATAAGCAACATCTTTGTCCTATTTTATTTTATTTTATTTTATTTTATTTTATTTTATTTTATTTTATTTTATTTTATTTTATTTTATTTTATTACAGGGGCCGCGTAGGGGCAGAGCGGCAGGTACCTGCGGGGCTCTGGCATGAGGAGCCCGGAGCAACAAAAATGCAGCTTGGCCTTTGAGGATCCCAGACTGGGCAGCTCTTGCTAACATTTCAGTTAACAGCCAAACTGTATGGTCAGAGGGTGTTTTCCCACATTATACTGTTGTTTGTGCTCCTGTCTACTCCTTTGCTCTCAGAAATATTGTATTTCTACTGAAAGCCCATATAGTTTTAAAACACCCAGGCTAAGTTATGTTGCTGCTTTAATCTGATGAAAAAGTTTGGAAGTAGATTTATTTTTTAAAAAACATAATTTAGAAAAGTTTACTACTAACTAATACCCTTAGCTGTTAATGCTGTATGCTTAATGCTGTTAATTAAATGCTAAAAGAAAAAGTAATGTATTCTGCTATCACTACAGTTGCTGAATGTTCTCGTCCAGATAAAGTGCATTGAGAAATCATTTTTGAATGTAAAATTGAGTTTCTTTAGCATTTTTGTTTTCAAAATAAAATCTTGAAACTGGATTTTCAAGTCAGTGTAACAAAAAGTAAAAGAGCAGTGCAGAGGTGTAGTTCCTCAGTTTCCCAGCTGTATTCATATTTTCAATTTTTGAGCACAGGGAATATTCAGATGAGCTCTGCATTATCCTATTTGTTTACTGATGTTCTTTGCAAGTGTTATCATTGCACCCTGTTTTCCCTTCCAGATAACCTTGTTTTTTAGTGCCTTAGTGTACAAATAAAAGGTTTGATAAAACAGTAAGTGATAAATTGCAATACTTTTCCCATACACCCAGGGAAAACAGAAGGATTCTTGGGATAACCTTGAAATGGCTAGAAAGCCAACTGAAAAGATATGCTGAAGGGCTTTTTCTATTCTCAGGAGTGCTAGCAAATAGATACTCACATCATAAGATCATGGAGTATTTGTGCTATGCAGGCAATATCACATGTCAACGCAGAAATTACTTAAACTGTCATCAAGGCAAATTTTCAAGTTTTTATAACTTTAAAAACTTTTTTTTTTCCTCAGCTCTCTTGCTCTCTTATTTAAATTGTATTGGCAACAGTTGAATAAGAGAATGTGGCAGGTAAAAGTTACTGCACAGGCTCACAAGAAGTGAAAATTGCAAAATCTTTACTGTTTACTCTCCACAAGGAGAAAGATGGCTTTAAGGGAGTTGGTTTGCTTGAAGAGAAACAGTAGGCAGAACTGTATTTTTTTTTCTAACAGCAAACTTTTTATTCTGAAAGAGACAAAGTCACGAACTTTCAGTTTTTGCTTTTTTTCTCTTTTTTTTCTTTCTTTTTCAGACTCTTCTATTGACCTGCTTTGGTGCTTATAGGAAGTAAAGAACTGTCCAAGATTCTGGAAATTTGCAAAGTTGCTTAAGGACTTAAGGTAAGGGACTTTTAGGGTCAAAGTCACAGAATTGATCTTTTCCAGCCAAGACATTAGTGTAAAATTCATGGTGCGTTTTTGTCTGAAAGGCATAATAGAAATGTATAGTAATTCTACCTAAACATAGCTAAACCATAGTCAAGATGCTACTAAAATGCTTCAAGTTCTATTTAAAAGAGACCCAAAAAAATAAAGCTTTTAAGTACTTGTCCATATGTACATTCATTGTGCGTATTCATTAATCAAGTATTTAAATTAGAACATGTTTTTCTTTAACAAATATGTATGTATTTGGCCGTCATTGATGTTGAGCACAGCATGTGCTTATGCATGTGTTTCCCTTCATTTCCTTGTGCTGCTGCTTTGCAACTTGAGACATTTTCAAATTATTCCAGCACAGCTTTACTCACCTGCCTTCAGGCTCTGACACCCAAGCTGCCCTTGCCCACACACAGCAAAATGCTTGTAGTTTGTGGCAATGCAGAACCCCCATGATGATAAGGCTTTCCCAGTGGTAGATGACAGCCCTCTAAAACCTATTATATTCAGCAATTTTGCCATTTTAGGTTTCTCACTACTGTTTGTATTCTCTTCAGAATGACCCTCTTCTTTTTGATGTGGTCAAGACATACATGAAAATTGACAAAATGGCTGTTCAAGTAACAAAATCACTCGTGATGTTTTCTGCCCATGTTTCCAGAAGGAAAGAGGACCGGTCTCTTTGCAGAACTCCTTTGTGTTGTAGGAAAAAAATGTACAGCATTTTAGTACTCTTCAGTAAGAGCACAGAGTGGTCCACCAGCTGTGAAAAGTAAAAAATTAATGTTGTGTTCCAGAAACAAAACAAACAAACAAAACCCCATGCTCCTTTTACAGAATAATGAGCAGGTAAGCCAGGCCCAAGCCCTGTAGGGACTAGGCGTATGTCTAGTTCTACTGCTAGTAACTTTCTCTCGAAGCCAGTGCAGGATCATGGAGTCTCTCTGAGGAGGTTGAGGGGCTGAACAGCAGTTGAGAAATTTTCTGAAGTTCTCGCCATGCAAAACATGCAGTAAAATTCTACCATGTATTAGAGGGAATAATTCAAACTACAACAAGTCTTGTCCCAGAAAGAAACTAAGCAGCAGGCTTTCCCAAAAGGCAGGGCAGCAGTAAACTAGTTCAGGTGAGTTGTACTAAGTAGAGATGAAAGTATTTGTATTCTGATGACTCAAAGTAAGATATTAAAACTATTCCCTAAAGTGAAAGCAATGAAAATTTGTAGTTTGTCTAGCATAATGCCAACTGAGGCAAAGAGAGAATACAAGGAAAAGCTCGTGACAAATATAATGTTTATGCTTAATAAAAATAAAGGAAATAGTGCAGTATCCAGCTTAATTAGTGCAATGTTATTCATAAGGTAAAAACCACTGTCTTGCAAAATACGTTCATTACAAAGGACATAGAAAGGAAGAAAAGAAGAAGAATAGGAAGAGGTAGATAGAGACCAACTGTACAACCTGAAGGGTTTCCAAAATAAGGGGCCACACAGTAATTCATAGACTACTTAAAATACCTCGGTACATTCATCCCTGATTTGAATTAAGCCTGATCATTTTTCACTTTTACTGGGACAAAAAAATGTAATTGAGACCTTTGAGGGCATAGACTGAATGGGTTTTCTGACCGTGCCATCGATCCTATGGCTCATTCATTTAGATTTCATCTTCTAGTTAACAAGCATTTTCAATATTGCTCTAATACTTTTCACAAACTCCAGCCTATTCTTGGAGTAATCGTGGATGATATAGTAAAGATAAACTCAACGTCATAGAGAATATATTGCAGAAGGCCACAGAGGACTGTGCATTCTTAGGATCCTTAAGAAGTAACCCAGTAGCATCAGCTTGATGACTTCAGATTCTAGTCAGAATTGATGACTTGGCTTTAAGGGTACTTAGCATGCCTTGAACATAGAATATTGACTAGGAATCTGAATTTATTGAAGTGAAACAGACAGCCCCTTGGTTCATTTCACATTTAGTGAAATGAGACCAGATTTTAGAGTTGATTGAAATGAGTGGTTTAAATTCTCTGTCAAACAATAGTGGTGTGCATCTATGACTAGGGCTCCCCTGCGGAAAGAAAGGCAATAAAAGGGAAAACAAATCCCCTCATCAGAGGAGACCAACTTGCTAACTTGGGGAAGTTTTGGAGGGAAGGGAAAATGAGCACACGTCCAATTTGGAACAAGGTCAGCAAGTTCCAAAGCTTCAAGATTGAGTTGTAGAAGGGGAACGGAAAGTTTATTGTGGTCAAGCAGAATGAGAGAAAAAAAGAAATGATTTAAGAAATGATTTAATGATTTAATGATTTAAAATGATTTAAGTTCATAAGATGTTGCAAACCTAAGGAGAATCCCTGTTGTAGAGAGCTGCTAGTAACCGTAGGAAAGAGGAACTCCAGGAAACAAAATGTGATGGTTCATCCTGGTAGCCTTTTCTCAGTGGCAGAGAAAAGTGGCAGCCTTTGCCAAGAATTGAAGTATGGGGAAGATACATCCCTGAATAATTTAGCACCCTTAGTTGCATAGATTGTAGGTGCATAAGAACATTTCCTAGATCTGGAAATATTCCAGGAAGGTTAAGAATATTTTATGTGACAGCAGTCTGCCTTGAGAAAACAAAAGAAAGGAACCATTTGAGATTTACTAATAGTGTCTTTCTTCATTGGGCTGAATTTACCCTCAAAGCCTCACAGATCTCAAAGGCTTAAACTTCAGCTGGAATTGGGCAACACATTCATAGATTATAAAAGCTGGAACTCTCAACCAGTCGGTGCTGCATAAAACCTCCCTGAAGGTGCAGACGTACTTTTCCTGGCACATTAAGTGGTACTAGAGTTTTAGCAGAAGATTTGCTGAGAGTTTAAGTAACAAAAAGCCTATCTGTGAACGTCAGGGAAAATAAAATGCCTCGGCTTGGCATATCCTAAGTAGTGTTAGCGACTATCTTATAAGTAACAACAGTCTGTTCTAGGTATTTTTTTCAACTTGCAATGTCGTCTTTGTAATGTCTTATTTTCAATTAAATTCCTTTTTTTAAAATTCCATACACAGAAGTACACATATAGTCAAAAAGTATATTCTGACAGGAATCAGATTAAAAGAGAGGAGATATAGAAAGCTTATATAACTAATTCAAAGGCTAACTCGCTTTAGGAAGCCTACTACTTAGGAAGTTTGAGATAATTGTATGCACAAATAAGAGCTACATTAAATCTTTCCATACTTTGCTTCTGAAAATGACAACTGTAGAAACACCTGTGGTTTAGTCTCCAGTAAAGCTCATTCCTTGTTGTAATGCAATTAGTTTGTTACCAGTCAAGGTGAATTGAGTATCATGGCTGGCATTTAAAATCTAAATGCACTACAGTTGTTTCCTACAGGCCACAGTCTCAACCTTTACATGCTCTCAATAGCCTCTAAAAGCACAACTCTAAAATACCATTAAACGTTTCTGCAACACTACTGTTGGTAAATACCTATGTTGATTTGATACTTTCGAGCATAGAGCTTCTTTTTACAAGCCATGGCAATGGTTAACCATTGCATCTAACATACTGACACCTAATTAAACAATAAAATTAAATTTGCTGGTGTTTGATGTAATACAATATTGAGTCTTTATTCTTTTCATGAGCTGTTACTAAGTGCAGATCACTGATTTTAAAGAGTCACACGTTTGTGCCCTCTGGTCCAAATCCACTGAAATTATCAAGGTTATGTTGGTACAGTTCCCTCAAAGAATGTTAAAATTGATATCCATTTCAGAACAACATTTAATCTTCAGTTCAGGTTAATTTAATTTAGTCATACAAGTTGACAGTTATTCTGATGCACAATGTTTTGACATTGCATTTCTCACAGATATTTGGACAGTTTGCTTTGTCTCATTTAGAAGAAACCTTGAGGAAGGTCAGTAGTCATGGCTGAAACATCACTTTCTTGAGTGACTGTCAAAATAAACAATTTAAACTAGCACAGGTTATTGAAGTCAGTGTCTCTTTTGCAATATTCTATGTTAACTGAGAGGCTATGTTACAAAATTTACTTTTTATTACACACAGAAAGAAGTTTCAAGGTCATTTCCCCCCCACCCTCTATGTTCCTAGTTAAATAAGGTAGAAAAAGCAAAGCAGCTCTCTACAAAATTTCACCTAATTGTGGCAATAGCATATTTTATGATGAAGGGGTTGAATTTGCTTAGGCCTTATTCTGGGATGTCAACTAAAGAACTGGGACATCAGTCTGTGACTTGAATTCAGTTCCCTACCACAGATTTGCTCTTGCTGCATTAGAAATTCTGGTTAGCACCTCCTTACATTGTACATGTATTATGAGGATCAAGAAAGACTGAAGAGCTCATTTGTCACAGTAATGGTAGCCATGAAAACTGAGCCTAGATCATCATCATCTACTTTGATTCCCTAGCTGGAAAGAACAGGTATCTGCTTATATTTGGAACAGTTTAATGATGGCATTTGGATTGGGGTTAGATAACTAAAGTTCTTCTGGATATTCAGAAAGTCAGCTAACTATGTTCTGGTAGAATACCATACCAGAGGCAGATGGATGTTACATTACTTATAACACTCTCAGTGTTTGGAATTGTCTATACAAATCTTCTCTGTGTATGGGATATAGCTATACTAGCAACTCTATTTGGGATTTCCTATGAAATGTCAGTAGAAACTCTGTATTAGAAGTTGAGCTCAGTCTTTCAGTCCTCTCTAAAATTATATCACTCTTGGTGATCTATTCCAAAATAAGGAATGAATTGTTAGCAACTTAGTAATTACTAATTATTTTAAGTTAATGATACAATCTATATTCCTCAAGAAATTTAGGATACTGTGCCAGCTTTTTATCTAGAAAAAAACACTCTATGGTAAGTAATTCTTGAGTTGACTGATTACAGAAGGTGATTTTAAGCAAATATATTTTTAGGGCTAGTGATTTTTCTTCCATTTTTCCTAACTGAAGTATTCAAGACTGGCCAAGGTTAACAACCTTTGTCAGGAAAGAAAAAAAATCACTTTGAAGTTTTTGGCCTCCTATATTTTTGGAAATATATTTATTATAAATACCACAGGAAAAATATATAATTGTATATTATATATATTATGAAAAATAAATTTTATAAGAAGTTACTTATACAGGCAGCCCAACCACTGTGTCAATTGTTTGTCATACTGTACTTTAAGCTCTTATTGTTTTTTGTGAATATGCATCATATAATGAAGTCAGAAAAATCTAAATGTTTCTTCTGGTGGTAAAAAGTTTTCTCTTATAGTAGGCTATAAATCAGGGAAATTTTTTCATCTAGGAAAAGAATAATAGCTGCCACCAAACTACTGCCCATCTCTGCCTGTATAATTGCTGTAGCACAGAACTATTATTTTTGCAAAATGCTTTGCATCTTGTCCTTTTCTTAAAATGAGGAACAATCTAGAG